AGTGAGACTCTGTCTTCAAAAAAAAAAAAAAAAAAATGGATCACAGACCTACATGTAAGACCTAAAACTATTCAACTTCTAGATGAAAACATAGGAGAAAATCTTTGTGGTTTGGCAAAAATTTCTTAGCTGTATTACCAAAAGCATAATCTATTTTTAAAAAACTGATAAACTGAACTTACAAAATTCAAAACTTTTTCTCATCAAAAAACATCATTAAGAAAATGAAAAGATAAGCCATAGACTGGGAGAAAATATTTGCAAATCACATTATCTGATCAAATATTTCAATCTAGAAAATACAAAGAATAAGAAGATAGCCCACAAAATTTTTAAAATATGCAAAATATTTTAAGAGACATTTCACCAAAGAAGACATTCAAATGACTAACAATTACAGGAGTAGACACTTGACATCATTGGTCATTAGGTAAACACAAGTTCAAACACAATGAGATAGCACTACAGATCCTTTAGAATGACTATAATTTACAAACTTTACAATCTAAGTGTTGTCAAGAATGTTAGGAAACTAGAATCCACATATAGTACTGGCGGGGAGGGGGGAAAAAAGTAGTATAGTCACCACTTTGGAAAACAGACATTTATGATTGGACTCCACAATTTCACTGCTAAGTATCTATCCAAGAGAAACTTTAAAATGTCTGCACAAAGACGTACATAGGAAGGTTCATAGTAGCATTATTTATAGTAGCCAAAAGACTGGAAACAATCCAGATTTCCATCAGCTGGTGAATGCAAAAACAAAATGTGGTATATTCATACGATGGAATATAATTCAGCAATAAACAGGTACAAACTACTGATATATTGAAGAGATGGGTGAACTTCAAAAACCTTATGCTAAGTGAAAGAAAACATTTAAAAATGACATATTATATAACATGACTTAGGTGAAACTTAAAGAAAAGGCAAAACTACAGTGACAGAAAGCAGATCAATGGCTGCCCGGGGCGGGACTGCAGACAGACAGAGGAGCTTTTGGGGAGACGATGGGAGTGTTCTAAACTGGACTGTGGTGATGGTTTCACAACTGTATATATTTACCACAACTCGTCAAACTGTAGAGTTTCAATAAGTGAACTGATGATGCATAAATGATGCCTCAATAAAGATGTTTTTAAGAAAGTAAAGTATATAAAGTATTCACTTACCATTGTAGCCTTCAAGAACAGAATCAATAATAGGTCTTGCAGTTAAGTTATAAACGTCAAGTTGTTTACTTTCTGGCCCAAAAACAGTATCAAAAGTAAATGTCTTTGGAGGCTCATTGGAAGAGTCGGTCTTATGCACGGTGATGGTCCCCCTCATCTCATCCACGCTGACGGCCTGTCTGTAGCACATGGATTTCTCTCTCTCATTGAGGGGCCGACACCTAACAACCACCTTCACATTATCGCAGCTTTCTGGCTTCTCTGATTTATTGATCTGGTGGAGACAATATTTACAAATAATGAAAAAGAACATTTACTTTTACCCCCAAGAGATTAAATCTATAATTTGAAAAAGACTACTTTGCCATCTCAGTGCCTTGCACACATTAAGGACCTCATAAATATTTGTTAAATGCAGTTAAAGATCTTAGACATATATAGAAAAAGCTTGTTAAAAGATACAAAGAGGGT